CTACAGCACTCTCCATCAAAGTTTACGTCACAGAGTGTGAAAAGATAAACTGCACAGAGGGTGAAAAGATAAATTAATCCTAAGAGATCCTTCACGATCATGAGCAAGCCCTGCATCACTGTCTCCACCGTTGCAAATAGCTGAAGCCTTTCATCATCACCGTCGAGATCAAGACGGCACACAACGTTTGCTTCAGCTGACAAAAGCTGCTAAGTTCTGGGGATGAGTCAGTTGTGTGCAGGCTGCTGAAGACTGTAGCACCGAGCTGTGATTCATGATTTTCCATGTGTTGGCCCTGGACAGAGCTCACCATTAACTACCCTGGGATCCCCAGCAGAGTTGCATTCTGCATATTTGAGGGTCCACGTCAGTGTCCGAAATAAGAGCCCACTTTTAGGGGCATGCTTCGTGAGCTAGGTGTTTCTTTTCCTATACTGATAGCCCCTCACTCTTGAAGGCTGCCGGAGCGATTAGCAAACTGGATCATCCGCTTTTCAGAAGCGACTGGGGAGTAGTTGTCATTCATACATTCGAAGTGCCATGCCAATCCAGGAAAGAGTTGTGATTCAAATGTGAGTTGCCGAAACTATCAGTGTTCGGACGAAATTTTTCGTGCGACACTTCGAACAAATTGTCCTAAAGAAATCAGGACGTATTTTGAATTCTTTACCTGTGATTATTGAGTGCTCACAAGGGAAGGATACCAACTCGTCCTGGCCATTCAGAATGAGATGTATACTCCTAGGAGCGTCTCCGGACGCTGATATCAGATCTGACTTCCAAATCTGCTAAACGATTCTGGGTGGAGAGTTACGGACCTTTTTTGCTACCGTGCTTAACCATTGCGGTGCGACCCCCTGCCCATGCTTTGCGCTCGTAAACCCCTCGTGACCCAGCTGCCGCCGTGGCTCGATGGCGCAGCAGGTAAGTGGATGGCTTCATAGTAGTGAGACGGAGGTTCAAATCCTTGATGCATTTCGTAGTTTTGCTTTTTCTTGAAACGCATGCTAAACACTTGGGAAGTAGTTTTGCGTACCTGTCCGACCA